CGGCGGCAGGGACTCACGGTACCCGCCCCGCCCTCGGATGCCGCCCCCTCCCGCACTGCCCGCCGCCCGCTGCAGCCAGGCCCCGTGAGTCCCCGGCGCCCGCGCCGCGCAGCGTGCGGGTGGGACGCGCCTCTGAGGGGCGGAGCCGCCCGGTCGTCCGCCCCGCCCAGACACGTGCTGCCTTTGTTCCCGCCACGGCGCCCGCAGCTGCGACCGCGCGGGCGCTGTTGGCCGCGGCCCGCTGCCGGGGTGTTGCCCTGTTGTGTGAGGAGTCCGTGGCCCCAGCCGGGCGGCGAAGCTCTTCCCGGCGCTCCCTTTCCCAGGATGAAGGCCTGCCGCCTGGGTACATTTCCGAAATCCAGGCCGGAAAGGAGTGCGGCTCTGGACCACCCCACAAACCGGCCGGCGCCCCCACACCACAGCTGACAAGACCTGAGGCCCCCAGCTGAGCCACTGCCCTGCGCGGGCAAGTCCGAAGCCCAACATGGATACGACCTGGAAGCTCCTGTTATGTTAAACCTAAAGCAGCTGCATCTCCAGTCAGCCTTCGCCTCTCAGATTTAAACATTTTCTGTTCAAAATATGTGCAATTTGAAAACTTGATGCCTGTAAAATTGCAAAGCTGGGTAAAATTCTGTTAAGAGCTGTACCACTCATAGCCAGGACTCCAGACCCTTCGCAAAGGCCTGCTGCTCGTTTATTATTGATCATACTGGTTTAGTTCTGGAGATAGACTAAAACCTGGCCAAACACCTGGTAAACAGCCACAAACCAGATCTTACCTCAGATTGCCATCTCTGGACCAGGAGAATTCCTGACCATGCCAGCACGCTTGACTATCCACTTGTACCAGTTCAGCTAGCTGCCCAAGGAGACCAGGAAAGGAGTCTGGTGTCATTCGGAGCAATGCTGCCACCAAGTCAGAAAATGCTAGATAGAGTGTATGTATTACCCAGAGAGTCTGTCAACAGTGGTAACTGAAAGCTTCAGGGATCTGGGTGACCCCGGAGTGGAAAATGCACTGCTTTGTACCAAAGGGTTCTCTCCACAGTCCTTCAGAACATCCACAGCAATTGTCCCGATCTCTTAGAGGAAGGCCAGTTTAGCAGTGTGCTCCTTCCTGATGCCCCTCACTGTCTGAGCTTGTTTGGCTCATTTTCTGTTGCTAGAACCCAGCACCTGACACTAGGTAATCTATAAAGAAAACAGGCGTGTTCAGCTCACAGTTCTGGAGGGTGGTGGTCCAAGGTCCTGTGACCGAATATGCTCAGTTGAAGGCTTCAAGGCTTCATCTCATGGCGGAAGAGCTTGCAAACAAGCCCCTGTGGGCTAGGCTAGCTTGTGGCAACCTGCTATAATTACCTACTCCTGCAGGAACTGCATTAAGTAAACTCTTAGTGATTTAATACCTCTTAAAGTTCCCACTACCTCTCAGCACTGTAACATTGGGACTCAAACCTCCTGAGTTTGGGTGGGAACAAACAATATTGACTAGCAATTCTACCTGGTCTTCAAATGGATCTCTCCTCACCCCTCTTTTCTCTCATGTCCCCTGGCCCAGTGCCTCTTCCTGTCAGGCAAAGGTGAAAGCCAGCCTTTGTTCTTCCAGCTCCCAGTTCTTCCAACTCCCAAGCTGGCTTCATGTCCACATTGTCTTATGCTCCCCTTAAAGCTCTAGTGTTGAGCAAAGATTAAATACTTTGCATTTCCCAAATGATACCCAGATTTCTAATCCTATAGTCACCCCTTAGAAAAACGTGATATTACCTGTAACTGAATTTCAACTCTAGCTATTCCAATTCACAGTGGACCATACTATTTCACCCCAGGTCCCAAACCAAAGCAGCACATTTGCATGGGCCTTGTCCTGGCTGCACTCCAGTGTCCTCTTCTGCTTCTGTCTAGTCAGCCCTTCCTAGTGCCTTCAAAATGAGCTTTCTGCACAACTACTCCAGCCTCGTCAGGGGCAAAAATCATGTTTGCAGCAGAGCAGGAATGGAAGAAGAGGCTGTCAGGAATCCTACCTACCAGGTCTCACCTGTTTTCAGGCACCACAGCTCCTCTGCCCACTCAAACCCACCACCATTCTCCACCCCCCAGCTCCTATCACTGCTCCAACTATTAAGCAAAGAAGAAAGTACAACAATCTGTCAAAACTAGCAGGATCAAGAACCTAGAAGGCAGACCCATCTGAATGAGGCAGAGCTGTTTTCTTCCCAGTCCTCTTCATCAGATAGCTACAGAGAAGCTATCTAACTCCCATCCCTATCAATCATCCTACTTATCCTATAGCCTATTTCTAGCTGCCAGAAGGCCTAGTCTTCTTAACTGCCTTGCTGGGCTGGGCTGGGCTGCCCCTGCCTGCAATGCTACAGGAGTCCCCTGCTCTGCATACCCCACTACCCATGCTGCCCCAAGGCAAGGAGGCCAAGGCAGCAAGCACCCAGCTACAGCTTCCAGAAAAGATTCCACATAGAGGCATGCTGAGTCCTGGCTCCTGAGGATGTCTGTTTTTTCAGGGATCAGAGCAGCATCTAGTGGCCCTTATGAGCAGAACAGATTATATAACTCCAGCACATAGCAGAGAAACACACACCAGCAGTCTCAACACACAAAGTCCTGACATCATGAACACTTGGGGCCAAAAAGGGACCCTCAAAGAGCCCAGTCCATGGCCAGCTGCCCAGCTGAGCCTCTCAGTGATGCTTAGACTAGCCTACATGAGGCCTGGGAAGAGAAATAGGCACAAATGCTTGTCCTGATGGTCTGGAGCAGTGCTGTCCAACAGCACAGTACAGCTATTAGCCACGTAGGTAATGTGCTACTGCCAAGAAACCACATTAAAATAAGTAAAAGGAAACATGAATTTTAATACTTTATTTAACCCAATATACCCCAATATTTCAATACACATAGAAAAGTTATTGAGATACTTTACATTCCTTTTTTCATACTAAGCCTTTGATGACTGGTTTGTGATTATGCTTATAGCACATCACAGTTTGAACTAGCCGCATTCCAAGGGCTTGACAGCCACAAGATTAGGGCTGTGCATTGCACAGCACAGGTCTGGCAGAAGTTATCAAACTTAGACTGAGGGGAGCAGAGAAAAGGGTTACTGCTCTGAGCCCCTCAGGGTTGCCCTAGATATGGGAAACCCTCTCCTCTCTGCTCCAGATCATTATTTAAGTCCTTTATAAAAGCAAAATGTCTGTAAATATAATTACACACAGAAACAATACTAGAACTGAGAATAGCAAAACTGCTCAAACTGGAGAGTTTGGCGGAACCCCTGAGCTATGCAGAAGACCCATTTCTGGGGTTGAGGGCAGTATGAAACAGCTGCTTTTGAAGACTCCAAAAGAAAACTACACCACATGGGTGTCAGGAGTCTATGTACTTGTACTTCCATTACTTCTTTGTTCCTCACATCACTGATGATCACCTCACTGTACCAAGGATTACCACCCAAACCCACATGTCCTCAACTGGAACACACTGCCTAGGAAAAAGTTACTTGAATTCCATTTCTGATTTCAGACCCTACAGATCAATTTTCCTGCCCAAGTCCTCCAAACCTGAACTCCAAATCCAGCTACAGAACTCCGATCAAACAAATGAGATAACAGTTTTCTCCAGTCTATTATTGAGCTATTTGAACTTGCTTAGACACCCTCCAGCACTCAAGAAAAGACAATTTTTGAAAAAAAAATTATTTTTATTGGAACTCATCTGAACATCAGATATACCTGGTGTTGGTTAGCAAGAACCGTTTGTACATTTGATATTGATGGTGCCAAAACCAAAACAGTGACTGGACATGATGGGGAGATGTTGAAAACAAAAACCTGATTTTGGAGAGGAAAATAAAAGCCAGTCAGATTTAGTGAAGATGCAAAACCTGGTACAACAAAATCCTTTTACAAAATATAAATTTATTACGAAAACCTGGAAAGATAATCTGAGAAAGGTAAAGAAAAAAGAAAAGGAGGCCAGCAGGAAGGAGCAGGACAAGTAGAAAAAGAGAGAAAAGGAAAAGAGAAGATGAGAGAAGAAAATACAGTAGAGCATAGCAAAGGTACAGAAGCTTACCTGCCCAAATGGCATTAAAGCCTTGCTATGTAATTGCATCAGAAAACAAAACATGCTGAAATACAGTGCTCTACCTCCCACCCATTGAGTTCTAAGAGGTAAATAAACTCCCTGGGAAGGGAACATGAGGTTGCTCGAAACACAACAAGGAAAAGGGGAGAGAGGGAAAAAAAAACACCCCACAGTCTCATTTCCAATGTTCACTGTTTAAAAAAGGAATAAACCCATCTGACAGCAGGAGAGGAGCAGGGGAGAGGGAGAAAAGTAGATGGAGTTTAGAAAGCCCAACTCCTCTGGAGGGGAGAGAGAAGGAGATGGTTTCCTGGCTGCGAAGGGGGAGAGAGAGAAGAGCAAAAGAGAGAGGAAAGAAGAGGGGCAGTTAAAACACTGACATCTAATCTAGTTATTGTGTTAAAAAGAAAAGCCACATGCACAGCAGGCCCCCTGGGTGCTGAGGACCCACACTGCTCCCTGCGTGGCCGTGAACACTAGCTCCTGGCCTTGTCCCCATTCCTTCACAGGTCAGAGCGGAGCCGTGCGGGTGCTGCTGCTGCTGCTGCTGCTGCTGCTGCTGCTGCTGCTGTGGTGGCGACGGTGGTGGCGGCAGGACCTTCGGCTAGTCTGCTGGAGCCAATGTCCAGGGAGAAGGGTGGACAGGCCAAATGGCAGGGGAAAGAACACCAAAACGCCTCATTTCAAATAAAAAAAGAAAACAGCAGTCTATACACAGTTGTTTGTTTTGGTTCAGTACAAACAGAATAAAAAGTCGTTGCTTTTGATGGTCAGCAAACACCCAATTCTGAAAAGGAGGAGAGGTGACGCCCAGCAGGTGGCGTAGGACCCCTAGTGGTTGGTGGGGTGCCTGGCTTTGCAGCCCTCTCCCAAGAGGCAGAGAGCACAGCTTTAGGTAGTGTAAGCCTTTTTCCTTTTATTTAGAATAATCTTTTTTTTTTTCTTTTTCTTTTTTTTTAAGCAATTTTCCCACTCCCAAGTTGGGCCAGTAAAGATTACATGAAAACTGGCACATCTATTGGCTGGAATACAGATGCACCAAATGAGGATTTAAAAACTTTCCCAGCGAAAAGTAGAACAACAACAAAAAAAAAGAATCTCCTAGCATTTCCCCCAAGGTTTCACTCTCCCGCCACACACACTCCAAAGGACTGCTACAGATCCAACTCTGCAAGAGAAGACAGAGCAGTGTCAATCAGGAAGCCAGGAAGAGGTTTTCAGTCTTGACAGGCAGAAGACAGCGCTGCCCAGCCCTGGGTCCCGGGGCAGGCACTCACCTATGTCAGTTTCTTGGCTTTGTTGTAGAGGGAGTCCACTACTTTACTCATGTTCTGAATTGTTTCCAGAGCAGCTTCATAAGTTTTATCTACTGGGGGTTCATCGAAAATGATCAGGACACCCTCCCCCTGGTCCAAAATCCCTGCAAGAAACACAAGGGAAACCCAGGTAAAAGTTGAGATTAGACAAAAAATTGTGAAGCAGCTGTTCCCTACCTGCCTCACTTTCTCCAGAAAAGGGAAACAGAATTTGTTTCTCTGTTCCATTTGCATGTATTTATTAAACACTCATCCCAGGGAAGATGGGTCAGTATCCCAGAGAACCATTAGAGAAACAAACAGGACACTTGCTTTAAAGATATACCCATACACTCATCTCATCACCATCACCACCAGCCCCCTTGCCTGTGTTTGTTACTCACCATGAAACTTCTTGTCAAGAATCATCTGTGATAATTTTCTTTCTACGTCGGCCTAAAATCAAAGCACATGATTAAGGAACCAGTATCCGTTAGTCAGAGATCACCCTCACATGAATGCTTTGTAGAAAGGGTGTTAGGGCAAATGGATTGTAAACAAAAGAGCAACAATGCAACTCTAGCTCTGAGCCCCCATTCCCCATTCTCTACTGAGAAGCTTGGGAGTTTTCCAATAAGGCCCACTGGGTACAAATGCCAGCCCTTCCACACCACTTCTTCCCATCCCTACCCCCTAGACGGCCTGAGAACTCCTTACCTTGGAGAGTTTGATGAGGCTAGATATGTGTTCAATCTAAAAGAAAAGGCAAAGACACCAAAACTGAAAGTTTTACTTTTTTAAAAATCTCCAATACAAGAAGGGGGACAGGAAAGAAATTTCTGTGTCTCTTGAACCTGATGTCTCTAAAGGTCCAAGTTTTTCTTGCCCATGCGTGGGTCTCTTCTGCTCTGTCCACTTGACTGACCTCCATCATTATACGCAACAAACATACTCCTGTCCTGCCCCACATACCCAATATAGAAAAATATTTGCCACATGTATAATGACATATCAGGAGACTACTCAGAACACAAGCTTCTATCCCACCATCCTTCTCCTTGACTCTTATTTCCCATCGAGACTAGACCAGGTCCTTGCTCATAGGCACACTATAGGAGGTGAGTTCCTATTTTGGACAGATGTGGAAAGGGAGGTGGGTAAAATGAGAATGCCTAGCCAGAAACAGGGTACTCAGGAGGGTTCTTACCTGTACTCGGGAAAAAGGTTCAATGACTCGAATCAGATTCTGTTCCAGTAAGTTATCATACAACTTAGCCAAGTGTGTGCTGATGATTGGGTCATCACGGAGCTCTGCCCGATAGTCTGTTAGGGCCTGCCAAAAGAGGCAGTAGCAGACATTGGCAAGTAGAAGCACTAAATCACACTACTCTTAGCTTCCTGAGTAGTTTATTGGCCCTGAAACTATACATAATCAGACAAAGTTCTGGGAGATGTGGGGAAATAAAAGCCAAGACAGAAAGTAGAAGAGTTGTGGCTCAAGTGGGAAGAGTTGCAGTCAAGTGGCAGAATATTTATGTAGCAAGCATAGGCCATAAGTTCAAACTCCCTCAAGGAGGGAGGGGGGAGGGAAGGAGAGGGAAAAGAGGAAAGGAGGAGAAAGGGAAAGTGAGAGCGAGCATGAGAAGCAAAAACTGGAGCCACCATCTTTCTATCCAAAATGCTCATGTCAACAGTTTAAATCATGTAACACTCAAGAGCAGCTTTGCTTATAAGCCAATGTAACTACACAACCATTTCTCAGCATGTATGTCAAAGAATTCTGAGGTTTAATAATGAGAAATGCTTAATTACACAACTAGCACTTAGAAGTTTTGTGAGGAATATTAGTACAGTGTGGTTCTGCAGTTAAAAAAAAAAAATTTTTTTTCCAATTTTGTTTGACCCTAGTATTTCCCAAATATCTGAACACAGAAACCGCTTTCCAAAGAACTGCTTGGAAGAAGTGTTTCAACAAATATCCCAAATTTGTGATAAAATGATCTAGGCCGTGATCATGTGTGTGATGTATTGACCTTTAGTAATAGTTTCAGTATCCTAGCCTCACATTAGCTGTGTTCTAAGAAGCAGACAAATCATGCCAAATAAGGGGCAACAGGAATAAGCAAGAACCCTCCAGGAAGATGATGAATCAGAGACAGTCAGAGCCCTGTGGCCTAGTCTGTATTTATATTGCTTTTCTTTCTGGATTTAGGTTTGTTTTTAAGTTGGTCACTATACTCAAACTAAGAGGACAGAGGTTCAGAAAAGAATATGTAAATCTCACCCTAAAGCCTAAACCAGTGTTTCTCCCATTTTGAAACTTCCCAAACAACGAGTACAAGTCACAAGAGTTAAATCCTAGAACAGCATGCTGACAAAGTTTCTTTTGGGCCAAATGTACACATCAAGGCTTCTCTTTTGTCCACAGAGGACAAGCAGACCTGGCATTTCTGGAACTGAAGGAATACTAATGGCTGTACTGTGTGCAAAAGCATTAGGCCTGAGTGAAACCAAGACACCTATTAGCTGTGTGACTTTAGGTACCCTCCTGATTCCCAGTTCCCATACCACAAAATGCAGGTAATAGCTTTGCTGTGAAAAAAAGCATACCAAGATTTTTTTTTTTTTTGGGTGATACTAGGGGTTTGAACTCAGAGCCTTGCACCTACTAAACAAATGCTCTACCACTTGAACCACATTCCAGCCCGAAGAACTTTTTGAAACTATAAAGTATTATGTATAAGTGAAATATAATCTAGATCAACCCAACAAATTTTGCTGTATAAAACTAATTATCTATTCCCTGGTTTTGATATTATACTAAGGGGACATGGGATCACTCTGTACTGCCTTTGTAATTTCTTTTGAAACTATATTAAGTATCTTTAAAAAGTACTTAAGGTCATTCTTGTTCTCACTCCAGAGATGACCTGCTTACAGTCTACTGAAGTAAAGTCCTTTCCTAATAAACTTAACCATCACTTACACTGCATAAATAAATAGTACTTAAATATCCCTCTCCTCCACCCATCCCCTGCCAATCCAATAACCATGCTCACCTTTTCAAAATCTGCCAGCGATCTGTTCTTGCTAGCCTGAGCCACGCATTTTAATGCTTCTGTCTGAGAATAAAAGACAAATCATGAAAGTGATCTATTCTGTATAGAAATCTCATAAGCAGTATACTATATTATGTTATAAGGAAGAATCCACTCCACCATCATTATTTTTCAGATGCCTAGGAAGAAAAGCTTGAAGTGTTGAGTATCACTATATGCCAACAGGTTTCCCTTTGAGACATGAAATAACTTAACTAGAAGTTCCTAATCAGGATTCTCCAGAGATGGTAAGTTAAAAGGGAAAATGACAAGAGAACTGTGATCTCTTTCCCTTCCTCCAAGACTCCTTATCTCCATACCCCTCATTCTTCCTGCCCTCAGACCTGTTCATACAAGTGCTTTATCAAGATTGATTCTGCTAGGTTTGTTACAAGCACTGAATGAGGTCTACTTTTGTAAGGATTGAGGCATTAATGTTCTACATTTTACATTTGAGTATTAAAACCCTACAGTGTTGAAAAGTACAAGGACGAAGGGCAACTTGAGGCTCATTATAAAAGACATCTGCCCAAACTATCAGGTCTCAATTCAGCAAGAAATCTGCAACACCCATTTTTCTAGCTCAGCCTGATTTTCGTTTTTTCAGGGCAGGACTGGGGTAGAACTCAGGACCTTGTGCTTGCTAGGCACATAAGCCATGCTCCCAAGTGCCTAACTCCTTCTTGAAAGCTGTCACCAAGGTACAAATAAGCAGAAGGAGTTCCTTTGTATCAGCCTACGTACTTAAACAAGAATGGTGTGTCTTCTGTAGCAGACTAAATGCTGCAAGGCTCTCATGACCATAGTTTGACTCCTACATTTGTTATAGACAGAACAAATGGGCATAATGAGGAAAATCTGGAACTCAGAGCACGATAACCCAAGTTAAAAGTCTGGCTCAATGACTTACCAGCTATCTGACTCTGTCCCTGGATATTTGACCTACCTGAGCCTATTTCAACTTTAGTTCTTCTGAGAGTAGTAAATCTAGCACTACAATACTAACCAGCATTCTTTTTTTTTTTCAATTTTTCTTTTATTATTCATATGTGCATACAAGGCTTGGTTGATTTCTACCCCCTGCCCCCACCCCATCCCTTACCACCCACTCCGCCCCCTCCTTCTCCCCGCTCCTCAATACCCAGCAGAAACTATTTTGCCCTTATTTCTAATTTTGTTGTAGAGAGAGTATAAGCAATAATAGGAAGGAACAAGTGTTTTTGCTGATTGAGATTAGGATAGCTATACAGGGCATTGACTCACATTGATTTCCTGTGCGTGGGTGTTACCTTCTAGGTTAATTCTTTTTGATCTAACCCTTTCTCTAGTAC